ACTAAAACTGAAAGTAAATAAATTAAAACTATAGACATTAAAAAAAACTAACAAAAATGTTAAAAACACACAACAAAATCACTAAAACTTTAACTAAAATGAACATGAAAGCAGAAAATATAAAAAAAAATCTAATTTAATATTATATATTTTAAAAAACAATACTACACCCCCCCCTCCCCCAAAAAAAAACTAAAAAAAAAAAAACTAAAACTGAAATAAAATAAATAAAAACTATATAGACATTTAAAAAAAACGAACTAACAAAAATTTCAAAAAAACACAACAAAATTACTAAAACTTAAAAAAAAAAAAAAAAATTTTCATTAAAATAAAATATCAAAGTAAAAACTAATTCAATACTAAAATAACACAGTCTCTACCCAATAATTTTTCTTTTTTTAAAAAATTACAAATGCAATGAAAACACAGGCATCTGTATCAGCACGTACCAAAAATGAAAGTTTAGGTATTGTATTCATTCTGGGAAAAAGTGGTATCGGAACATCCCTAATAATAATACTAATAATAATAATAAATAAACGAATAAATGAAGTGACTGTAAATCACACAGTAGGCTTCAGCAGAGAATAAAGCAGCTCTTGAGATGTGAGACTGGATAATAAGAGGACTTCAGCTGATTCAGTTCACAAATACAAACACATTTATAACACAGAGACATTAACTGAGATTTTCATTAATATTCTTAATACATGCTTCTGGTCTTATTATGAACGATTCATCAGGATTAAGCATTTCTTCTGATTAAACATCAGAACACATTAAAACTAATAAAAAAATTCTAGATTTTTGCATGGGGGAAAAAATAAACCTTGCAAGTGCTAATAAAATAAATAAATAAATATATAACATTTTCGTTTGGGGAAAAAAAACCTGAACTTTGCAAATATAATTAAAATAATTACATTTAAAAATAAAAATAAAATAAACATACTTACTGTACTTTTCCCACCATATCCAACAGCTTTTCATGGATAACTTTTACTACTTCAAAACTGCAAGGAAGAGGGAGAGACAGATCACAAACGGGAATTCTGAAAATGAGCAGATAATTTTATCTAAGGTTATTTATAAAACAAGAATAAAAATATATAAAATAAACAAAAAAAATTCCAATTATAATCAAAGTAATAAATATTACTATTGCAATATTTACTGTAAAAAACCTGAGTATTTAAGCCCAAAAAATATAATAATATTATTATTCTACAACTGTAAAAATGACCATTACCGTGGTAAAAAAAAACAAAAAAACATGAAACTTTTATTTATATTTAATGCTTCCCTTTTGTTGATAAGCACTTCTCCTCACTCTGAAACATGCAATGTTTTTACGCATTTAATTAAATTGCAGCCTTTGCAAACAATTAGTCACACCAAGCCAGTTTATTTCGATTTTCCGTGCAGCTCTGCTTCAGATGGTTGTGAGATTTTATAACTGGTTAAAGGGAGAAACACAAAGCAGAGCCTGACAATGTCATCATTTAATTAACATCAAACATCCAGACATCCGGAGACGAAGATGATGAAGATGAACAAACACGGATCCACAGGTCTGAGATCAGCTCTTACTGTCCATCAAATATGATCTAATTTAATAACTCTGTGAGGGAGGAGAGATCTTCTAGAAATGAGACGTCATCTCTCAATTTCAATCAGATGCAATGTTTTATTCATAAACCATATTCTGACAGTCATCAGGAGCATTAATCTGTGCTCTCACCTTTTATTTGAGGTGACTGAATACACCAGAATGTAGCCGTTGATATCTATGGAGTACGTCTGCGGGAAAATAGAGTATTCGTCCTGAAAGAGAGGAATTCAAAACACACTTCAGAGACGAAATCAAAACTTCATTCTAAGAATTCATGACATGATGCTTTTATAAGAACGTTTTGCCAACTGTGCGGTTTTATTTTAGTATTATTTAGAAACTATTATATTTATTAGTATTTAGGGATGTAACGATTAACCGCGAGCCGGTTGAAAATCGATTCAAATATGTGACGATTCAAATCGGTTGAGATGCTAAACAAATCGCGATTCATTTAGGGG